TTTTGTTAAATTATTCTTGTTTAAAATTTTAAAAAAACTTACTAAAAAAAATTTGCTTGGTTTCTATTGACTCAACCCCATATACTGCAGCAAGATAACAAATGCAATTAGAGTATACTGATTGAGTTTTTATTCCATGTTTTACTCATTAGGCGAATCTTTGTATTGCTGATATTTTTAAATCATTATTACAATACAAGTTTGCATTATTAAAGGCTATTTCTTTTGTTTATATTTTGCTAATAGTTGACATTTTTTTTGGATTGGTAAATTACGTAAAAAACAAAAAAAAATTATATGAAAAATATTATTGTTTTGTAAAACCAATTTGTATATAGTAAAATAGTTATTGCTTTTGCTTTGCATCTTATTTATAGCAAAAGGGCTTTAAAAGTATTGTATTTATTTTTATTAATTTATTAATTTTTATTTTAATTTTATATTAAAAAAAATTTAAATAGGTACTTGGTTTATAGTATCAAAATTTGTCTGAAGATATTATAACACTTTTGGATAACAATAGTTGGTGGCAAACAATTGAAGAACTTGGATTACATTTACTTCCTTTTACAGCAATACTTAATTGTCTTCAACAAGATACAGCACAATTATCAAATGTACTTTATGCATTTGCATACATTATGCAGTTATATAAAAATCAATCTGATAATTTTAATCAAAATATAGTTTAATATTTAGAAGCACAATAAAAGCAATGGGAACAGTCCTTATTAATTCTTTTATTTTTTCTTCACCCAACATATTGCAACAAAGTTTTTAATAATCATTTTTTATTAAATCTACCACAAGTTGGTTTATAGTTACAATACTATTTTAAAGCATGGTTTAAAACTCAACCTACTATTACTTTATCAGAATTTTCAAGATTTATTATGAAAAATTATCCATTTGATAAGGAAACAGCATCTAACTTTACAGATATTCAGGAATATTAGATATTTGCAACAGAAGCTACAAAAGAACTTGGCATGCTTGCAATTTAACTTTTTTCAATTTATATAAATTCAGCATTATGTGAATATTTATTTTTATCGATAGATTCTATTCATACTATAATATAATAGATTACAGATATAAATACAAGTTTATTTAATATAAATATTTATTTAAAAAAAAAACAATTAATATAAATATTTATTTAACTTTAGTCTGATAAAGTATTTTTATTAGCACAAATATATGCAGAAATAACTTATAATTGTAAAGTTGAAGCAGCACAATCTTTAGAACAACAAATGATAGCTAATATAGATCAACAAGTAAATTTTTTGAAACTTGAACAAAATTTTTCTACACTTGAACAAAATTTTTTTAAACTTAAACAAGATTTTGAATTTTTGAAAAGTGATGAGATTATTAATAATAATGATTTGAAATCGAGTACAAGCCAAGTTATTAATAATGATATTAATAAAAAGTGAAAAGCAGTTTTTAAAAGCTGGTTTGAAAATCTTGTAGATAAAGAAGTTAATAAAATGAATTCTGGCTCAGAAGATTTATCTTTGAATACTAATACTAATAAGTTATTACTGGGTTTAAAACATCCTGCAGATGACCTTGTAGAAAAATAGGATCTCACAAATTTATTTGATTTTGAGTTTTCAATTCTATTTTCTATAAAAAAACTTTTGTTAGCTTGTAACAATACTGGTTGAAATCAAATATATATATATATATATATATTTTTTTTTTTTAATGTTAAAGGTGAGACCATGCTCTTATCTTTATTAAACTTAATGAAAACT